TGAACAGTAGGTAAAATGACAACAAACTCACAACTATCAACAACTGAAACTAAAAAACAAAAACTAAAATTAAGCAAACAACTAGAAGGGGAACAGAATCACAGAAATGGAGATCACACAGAGGTTTATCAGTGGAGCGGCAGAAGGGGAAAATAAGGGAAAAGGTACAGGGAATAAGTAGCATAAATGGTAGGCAGAAAATAGGCGGAGGCTGAGAATGATATAGGAAATATAGAAGCCAAGGAACTTATATATATGACCCATGGACAGGAACTAAAGTGGGGGTATGCAGATGAGAAGGGGTGTGCAGGATGGAGGGGAATAAAAGGGCGGAAACGGGACAACTGTAATAGTAAAATCAACAAAATGTATTTTAAAAAAACAATTAGACTTCCAGCCAAGATGGAGGCATAAGTAGACACACTGTGCCTTGCCACACAACCAAAATAAGGTCAGCAACAATTAAGAAACAAGATAACAACCAGATCTGATAGAAAATTTATCTGAATGGAAGTTGGACAACCAGGAAAACAGGTGCATTCATCCAGACTGGTAGGAGGAACGGAGAGGGGCATCCAGGTGCGGGTCACTGCTCAGAGATGGGAGAGCGTTGAGACCGAGCCTGTAAGGCTTCCATGCACAAGACTGCAGCGGGTGGACCCTGAGTGTGCAAAGGGCAGCTGGCAGACCCCGGCCGAGGGGTGGCAAACAGCAGGCCCAGCGAGGAGGTGATTGTGAAACAAGGCACTGTGCGAAACCCAGGATCACAGTGCTGGGAAATAGAGCCTCAGGGCACTGATTGAGGACACCTGTGGGGACTAAGGAGCAGGGAGGGACTCCCAGACTCTCAGGAGAAGTTCTTGGAGGGTCCCACAGTGTGCATAAGCCCACCTACACGGGAACTGACACCAGAGGGGCCCAGTTTGCTCAGGGGAAGCAGCGGAAGGAACTGAGGTCCCACGGAGAGCAGAGCAAGCACCGTTGTTCCCTCTCAGACCCCCACACTCACATACGTCACAAACTAGCAACTGGAGTGCCCTGGCCTGGTGAACACCTAAGGCTCAGCCCCTCATATGTAACAGATGCAATCAGAACAAAGGAAAACATAAAATAAAATTAAAAAGATGGCTCAAACAGAATTAAAAGCCCCAGAGCCAGTTTTCTTAAGTGACCAAGAGATAGCCAACCTATCAGATGCACAGTTCAAAGCACTGGTGATCAGGGTGCTCACAGAATTGGTTGATTTTGGTCGAAAATTAGATGAACAAATGCAGGCTACGATAAGAGAAATGAAGGGAAATGCACAGGGAACCAATAGTGATGGGAAGGAAACTGGGACTCAAATCAATGGTGTGGACCAGAAGGAAGAAAAAGACAAACAACCAGGAAAGAATGAAGAAATAAGAATTTGAAAAAATGAGGAGAGGCTTAGGAACCTCCAGGACATTTTTAAACCTTCCAACATCCGAATTATAGGGGTACCAGAAAAAGAAGAGGAAAAGCAACCAGTAGAAAACTTATTTGAATAAATAAGTCCCCAGTCTGGCAAAGGAAATAGACTTCCAGGAAGTCCAGGAAACTCAGAGAGTCCCAAAGAAGTTGGACCCAAGTAGGAACACACCAAGGCACATCATAATTACAGTAGCCAAGGTAAAAATGAAGGAGAGAATCCTAGAAGCAGCAAGAGACAAGGAGACAGTAACCTACAAAGGAGTTCTCATCAGACTGTCAGCTGATTTCTCAAAAGAGACCTTGCAGGCAAGAAGGGGCTGGAAAGAAGTATTCCAAGTCATGAAAGGCAAGAACCTACATCCCAGATTGTTCTATCCAGCAAAGCTTTCATTTAGCATGGAAGGGCAGATAAAGTGCTTTTCAGAAAAGGTCAAGTTAAAGGAGTTCATCATCACCAAGCCCTTATTTTATGAAATGGTAAAGGGACTTATCTAAGAAAAAGAAAATAAAAAACATGTATAGTCAAATGACAACAAACTCACAATTATTAACAACCACACCTAAAACAAAAGCAAAAAGAAACTTAGCAAACAACTAGAACAGGAACAGAACCATAGAAATGGAGATCACATGAAGTGTTAGCAACAGGGGAGTGGGAGGAGGAGGGGGGAAGGTATGGAGAATAAGTAGCATAGATGGTAGGTAGAAAATAGACAGGGGGAGGGCAAGAACAGTATGGGAAATGTAGAAGCTAAAGAACTTATTGACACATGAACATGAACTAAAGGGGGGGAATGTGGGTGGGAGTGGGTGTGCAGGGTGGAGGGGAATGAAGGGGGGAAATGGGACAACTGTAATAGCATAATTAATAAAATAATATTAAAAAATTAAAAAAACAAATAAATGAAATAATCCTGTACCTATGAAAAACATTGCAATTGTAGTTAAACCCTTACCATAAAGAAAATTCAGGCCCAAGTGACTTCTTTGGTGAATTCTACCAAAGATCTAAGGGAAAAAAATAATACCAATTCTATACAAGCGGCTTGCAAAAATTGAAAAGGAGGGAATATTTCCCAACATAGTTTCTTAGGTTTTCATTTTCCTGATACTAAAACTGGAAAAAGACATTACAAAAAAATCTAAAGATCAATAGCTCATAAACATAGAATCAAAACACCTTAAACTTTAAAGCAATTTGAACCCAATAACATATAAAGAGGATAATACATCATGACCATGTGTGGCTTCTAACAAGAATGAAATCAATGTAATTTATAATATTAACAGACCAATATAACTAAAACCATTTGATCATCTAAATGGATGCAGAAAAGCATAGAAAAAAATCAACTTTCCAAATAAAAACTCTTAAACAACAAGAAACAGAAAGGAACTTCATCCCAATTAAGGATATCATTGAAAAATCTGCAGTTAAGATCATATGAACATTAACTGATGATAAACAAGTAAAAACTACTTCAATTCTACACTACACTGGAGGTATTAGCCATTGTAGTAAGGAAAAAAAAAAGAAGTTAGATTGGAAAAGAAGTAAACTGCCTGTATTTGTAGACCATATAATTGTCAATATAGAAAATTCTCCAAATTCTCTATATTAAAAATCTCTAAAAACTATTAGATCTAATAAGTAAGGTTAGCAAGGCCAAGGATACAAAACCAGTTCCTGAAAAAATCAAGTGTATTTCTATATTCTAACAACAGACAACCGTAAATTTTAAAAACAGTATCATTAATAACGGCTTCAAAATATATGAAATCATAATAAGAACAGACGTTAAGAACAGACCTGCTCAACCTGGAGACTGAAAACTATACAACACTGATAAGAGAAAATGTAAAAATCCTAGGTCAATAGTAAAATATAGGACACACGTGGATCAGAAGACTCAATATTGTCAAGATGTCAAATCATCACAAATTGCTCTATGGAGTCAGTGCAATTCTAATCAAAATTCCAGGAGATATTTTTATAGGAACAACAGCTATATTCTGAAATATCTATGAAAATGCAAAGGACCTAGAATAAGCAAAATTATTTTGCTTAAGAAGATAAAATAGGACAACTTACTCTTTAGTAATTAAAACCATATGGTATTTATACAAATATAGACATGCCAAAAAATGGAACAAAACAGAGCCTGTAAGTTTTACTTACATATAACCACGCAATTTTCAACAAAAGCACCAGGGCAGTCAATAGGCAGAGTATATAACCTTTTAGATCCACATGCAAAGAAATGAACCTTAACCCATATATCATATTAAAAAATTAACTACAAATGAACCTAGTAAAAGTTCTAGGATAAAAAATAGGAGGAAATACCTCTGGCCTTGATTAGAGAAAGATTTCTTAAATCAAAAATTCCCCCCACAAATTATAAAAGAAAGATTGATAAATATGACTTTACCAAAATTAAAACGGTTGTCATTTGGAAAATATTGTTAAAAAGATGAAAAGGCAAACCACACACAAGGGGGATATATTAGTAAAACACTCCTCTGAGAAATTTGAATCTAGAATATATAAAGATCTCTTAAGACTTGAGAGAACAAGCAATAAACAAAAAAATTAATTAAAAGCCAACAATTTTGACAAACATGTAACCAAACTCATAGAATTTTTTGCTTAAAATTGGTCAATTTTACTGTATATAAATTATATCTCAGAAAAAGCTCACAAACACAGATACTCAGTGGAGGGAGATGTGCAGTATTCTCCGAGTAAATGGAGTAAATCAGCCCTAAATAAGCCCTCTCCTTATGTTCTGTTTGGCCACACATTTCAGGAAAACCTCTTCCACAGACCAAGTCTTACTGCACATTGCTTTAGAAATAGAAGTGGGGAGCGGGGGAGGTAGTGTAGTTGATTCAACCTATGTTGTCAGTGACTAATGATTCTAAGTACTAGATACTTTGTGAATATAATTTAACTACATACAAACTCTCAAAGCTTTAAAAAAGCCTAGGTACCTTCAATACTCTTACATTCAGTGATTATATTAGCTAGTTTGTATATTTCATTGTTTAGAACTACCCTGTACAACTATTTCATGGCAAAAACAAATTAATAAAGTTTTCCAGATCATATCTGAATAGGCAACTTTTAATTCATGATGCAGGTATTTCATCTGTTCATTTATTAAATCTTCATGTTTAACTATAAAGAAAAAACTATAAAGTCTCTCATTTTAATATTTTTTTAGTTAGGAAAATAATTCTATACATATTAACTAAATTCTTCAATATCAATTGATTTAGAGCCTTTATACACAGGAAAATTCAGACAAAATTGTGGAGAATTAACTTATTTTTTGGAGAATTTTATTCAAGATAGTATTTGAAAAGGTAAAAAATGAACTTACTGCTTAGAAAACTAAATATATGGCTAACTTAAGAAGCCACAATTAGCCTGGAGCTTTAAAAAGACATGTTTTATAAACCAATAGAGGAAAACTTCTTGACATTAAATTATAAAGTAACTAACCAACTTTGAAATGAATTTGCAAAATAAATAGTGTACTTACAATTTGTTGCCATTTGAAATTGAGAATGAAGTGCTTGAGTCACCGAATTCCAAAAAGTATATAAAATTTCCGACTGCCCATCCTGTGACCCAAAAAATGGATGTGTTCATTAATTTAAAAAAATTACAATGGATAAGATGTAATGCAGACATTTAATTAAAATGTACTGAAAGAAAAATTTCTAAAACATCCATCAGACAAGAGAATTACTGAGTAACTAAGAAGAAAATATCCAGATGACTGAAATCGTATTTCACCATCAGGTGTTCAGACAGTCATCAACCCGCTCTGCTGCCCTCTGCTACTTAACTAGCTGTGTGGGCTTGGGCAAGCTGCTCACTCACTCTGAGCCTTCCTCCCACCTGTGAGATGGAGATGGTAACAGTACCTGCATTGCAGGATTATTACAAAGGTTCAAGAAGTCTATAAAAGTTAAGCCTTGGAACAGTTTCTGATATATAATTAACCCCTAGTGAACATTAGTTATTGTGATTTTTATTATCACCCTTCCATTTAAAAAAGGCAACTTCTGTGACAACAATAAAATGATGGACATAACATTTTTATCCTAAGAATCCAGGACATAATTCATCCATTACAAAGGAGAACTGCATGAAATATAGATACAGGGGTTGTTTTTTTTAAGTATCATTTGTTAAATCAAGACAAAGTACTTTAATACTGTTAAAACAGAATTATACTTATAGAAATTTTACCAAGTACTTTTAAGGTACTTTTACACATATGTGGTGCACAATATCAAATTACCAATATTCTATTTTTGAAGTACAAAAAGGACAATTTCACATGGTTCACATTAATAATATCCATGCAATGTGTCTAATGTTCAAATATGATTACTGTCATAAAAGAGAATAACTAGAAATTTTGTTGTTTTATTTTTGCACTTGTAACAAAATAAATTCTAATTTTCAAGGACATAAATGAAGAAAATGACCAACAAAAAATACTTATTTCTCACTTTTATATTTACACACACTTCTATTTTCATTGTAGTTTCTTTTTTTTAATATGTCTTTTGCTTTGATTTCTGAGTGTGGTACATCTTAAAAAGGCAAATCAAATAACTCTTAATTTCTTATACAAAGATTTAGATCCCCATTTTAAACAATATGTGCACTGTGTATCATGCACTTACGTATATGTGTTTCATCTTATTAAAGAACTATTGTAACACAGCACATTAACAGGATGAAGGACAAAAACCACACACTCATCTCAAGTGATACACAAAAAAGCATTCAATAAAACTCAACACCCTTTTGTGATAAAACCACTCAACAAGCTAGGAACAGAAGGAAATTACCACAACATAGTAAAGGTGATCTATGAAAGCTCACAGCTTATATCATAACGGTAAAAAACTAAAAGCTTATTATCCTCAAGACATGGACAATTTGATGACTGTATGTACTTTCACATACACACAATATATATATATATATATATGTAATGAAGAAAACTACAGGGTCAATGTGTAAGAATCAAGTGCCAAAATCTCAGATACAAAAGCAAATTTATTTCAACAGTGTATTAAAATAATTGTTTTAAGTATCTACCTAAACAAGTAGAAGTTAGGTCAGCAATGTAAATACCATTTAATCTTATGAAGTCTATTATTATAGTAGCCCAGTGTCTTCAGTAAAGAAACTTAGAGTTGAGTGAATAATTATTTAAAAAATATTATATAACTTCCTGAATAAAAAAAATAGAAAAATATGAAGATACATAACTAATTTCCAAATTACACTTACTAATTACTTACTTTACTAATTACACTTACATTTCCAAATCAAATTATCCTGTCAAATAATTGCTCCTAGGCATGTTGAAATAAAATTTATTTAACTGGACTTTAATAGTTCAACTAGATTTCAATTGGAAGGATATTGACATTAACCTATTTACAATTTCTGCCCAATACTGTCTTACTTTCTTGGCTCATTTGGGTTGTTATAACAAAAATATCATAAGTTGGGTGGCTTATAAACAGCAGAAATTTTTTTCTCACAGTTCTAGAAGCTCCAAATCTAAGATGGAGGTGTTGGTAGATCTGGTGTCTGGTGAGGACCTGCTTTGTCACTGATGGCCGTCTTCTCACTGTAACCTCACATGATGGAAGGGAGCAGCTCTCTGGGTCTCTTTTACAAGGGCACCAACCCCATATTTATGGGGCTTCAACACAAGTTTTAGGGGACACAAACATTCAGACCACAGCACTTTGTGAACTTCAATGCAATCATGCTGTCAGATCAAGTCTGTAATACCTCTGCAATTTAAAACAGCTTCTTGGTCTTTTTTCTTAGTTGTAAATATAACCAATAGAAATAATTTCAATTTTCAGTAAGGTGAAATTTGGATCTTTGAGTGAGATCAATAATTGAAAAGTAAAACCAAAATTAGATACATTTTATACATATAAATAGAATAAAAATAAAATATGCAGGAATACTAAAACATTTATGTTTGAATGAATCTGTTATTTAGAATTACAGTTTGGTATTTGCTTTTGTTATTGATTTTGACATCACTAAATATATAAAGAGAAACTTAGAATGATACTACAAAGAACAGATTTTAAGGCATATATGATTTAGTTTCTCTATTTTTATAACATAGAACTAGCCACAGATTTCCTCTCTGAAATATATTTGATAGTCTTACTGCACACAATATAAGGTTCAAAACTTCAAGCTAACATTCTTGAATTAGGTGTGGTGGAAGTGTATGGGGGTGGGGGCGAGGCTGAAGTAAGATAACCTTGACTTAAATCTAAGGTCTGCTACTTATTGGTTCTATAATGATGGGCAGGTATGGTGTTTCATCTTCCTAAGCTTGTAAACTACAGAAACAATAGGGATTATAATACTTTATAGAATTTACTTATCATAAAGATACCTTGGGCTAGAGCTTGAAGGAAGATCAGAATTCACTATACAGATAAGAAGAAGAGGTGAGCAGAGATATGGAAAACCATTTTCTATCCTCTGAATACATAGTTAGCATTCAGGAAAGAGGAAAGACGTGAGAATGAAAAGCAAGGCAAGGATTAGATCAAGTAGTGTCTTAATTTACCATGTAAGCACTAGTCAAACATGTAACAGTTTTAATGAGCAAATAGAACAGTTAAGCTGTGTTTTATGTAAATCATAAATAGTATGTGAGGAGGTCATGAGCCTGCAAGCAATAAAATCAATTATGAATTTTCTAAAAAAATTGATAGGACATGATGAGCAGGTAAATATTTACAAAGGATTAGGACTAGATGCATTTGTGTAGGACTAACAGGGGTGTCCAACTCACAGCCCAAGATGGCTATGAATGCAGCCCAATACACAATTGTAAATTTACTTAAAACCTTTGTTTTTGCTCATCAGTTTTCATTAGTGTTTGTGTATTTAATGCATGGCCCAAGACACTTCTTCTTCCAATGTGGCCCAAAGACACTAAAAGGTTGGACACCCCCAGTAGAAGATGTAACCAAAATGTACTTTCAGAAGAGGCAGAAGGTGGACAGAGAAAGATTTGTTCATCTTGTCGTCTAGAATCTGTGAGGCATACAAGTAAGGACAATTCAGTGAATGTAACCCTCTTGCTTAAGAACAAGCTCTAAACTGAAGAAACAGATTTAGGTATCATCTGTATTTGGAGTTGGTAGAAACTGTTAGCATGAGTGAGCTTTTCCATAGATTGTATGTGACATACAATCTATGAGAAGAAAAGAATCTTTAGGATGGGTCCCAGGGGAACGACTTTACTTGAAGGGTGATAGAGGAAACAATTCAGAGTAGAGAGAGATAGGTGGGTGAGATAGTTATTTTTTTTAAAAAAAGACTAGTTAAAGTTAGTAATTGTTGAATCTCGGTGATGGGCACAGAGATTCACTGTCCTATAGTTTGGGTATATGTTTGAAATAACATAAATAAAATATTTTAAAAGGAGGGGTAGGTAGAAAAGAATGAATCAGTGAAGTATTGAAGAGATGGAGTATCTCTTGTGGACAAAAAAATAGAGTGGGAACTCTGTAATAAATCTGATTAAGTCCTGTGATCAAAAGTAACCTCACAGAGTCACTTTCCTACCTGGGCAGTTCAGGGCTACAGGCCTGTAACTTGTTTAGTAAAAGGTTTATCTCTGCCTTAAGCAAGCCCTGTCTACTGTTCTTGTGCATCTAGGTTTGCACACCTTTGAAATGCTGGAGTAATCCTCTTTTTCAGACTCCTCAGAAGGGTAGACACCCTCAAAGGAACACATAATCTGTTGTTTATCCTGTAATCCAATCCCTGCCTTGCTTTCTCCCATCTTCTAACAATCTTCTTAAACCCAAACATGCAGTATCTAAAGAAACTGCAAACTGTCATTCCCTGGATCATTTGAGATCTTGTTTCCAGGCATGTTGTTAGTTTGTCCAAACTCTTTTAAAAATTCTCTATAGGTTTGGACATTTCTTACAGAGAAATTGTGAGGGAGGAAAGCATTAAGCAGGAGTAGTATTTACCTCAGTGGAGTCAGACGTGAGTGGAAGTGATAGGGGACTCAAGAGTTAGAAAACTTTAGTTTAAGTAATAGCTAATAAGCTTAGTAATCAATGCTCGTAAAAGCTATTGTTCCAGGAAAGGAAGATATGACACACCCTGACTCCAGGAGACCATAAGCAGTTCCACCTTTGTGCCTCAGGAGGGCTGCAAGCAATTCAAGATAGTATTTGAGCCATTGCACTCATGCATGAGATGACCACTGCCCAGGACACAGCTAATGACCACTGCCCAGGGCGAGAATGCTGCAGTTTTTTAATCCAATTAAAATTTCCCTGAATTCCAAACCCCTTGCCTCTACTTTGTTCTCCTTATAAAAAGGGCCATTTTAGAATGGAATTCAGGGTGTGAACCTGCCATCTTCTCAGACCGCCAGCCCTCTCAATAAAGCAGCCATAAAGATTCAATCTTTGTCTCTGCTTATTGGGTTCAACATGTGACAGGCAGCACAAACAGTTGATCTTTTCCAGTTTCAGAAGGGTTTGGTAGTTGGGTCATTAGAATGCCTTTGTCAGGAACTGTTACG